GAGTCGCCTGCGACTCGACGGCACTTAACAACAACAACATTTCATAAGGGGAAACTTAAGTTCTGGAAATGCTGAAACACTGTTGAGAGTCATGGAGTCCTGTGTGCCGGGAGGGAGGGTGGCAGGGTTCACATCTGTGCTCACAGTGTCGCTATGAGTCGTATGCGACTTGATGGCACGTTTGTTGTTGTGTGCCGTCGAGTTGCCTGTGAGGACAGTAAGCTTGGCACCGGACAGAGCAGGGTCAGGGCTGTTGTACACAGGGTCACTGTGATGACTCGTAGCGACAAGTCATGACACGTCAGTGATGGAAATGCCCACTGTTGGCGCGACAGGACTCCCCAGTGATGGGTAGTGCCGCCGCCCTTGACTTTGCCAGTGGATGGGCAGGGACGTGCAAATGTCTGTCCACACGGGTTTTGGCTGTAATGGAGCGGGGTCGGGGGAGCCAGTGAGGACCCTCATAAGCGGAGAGTGCAGCGGGGGCTCTTTGCGGCGCAGGCATCAGCAGGGCCCACGGAGGGCAGCAGAGGCAGAGCCGGGCTCTGGGAGACACAGCAGGTCTGGACCACCGCCCGGGCCTGTGCCCAGCTTGCTGGAGGATGGAGGGAGAGCCGTAACCAGCAGGACTTTGTCACACTGAGCTTGGTCTTTGAAGAGGCTGAGGACCCACTGAAGCCCAGTGGCCTCGGGGAGACCCCTCCTCTTGGTTTCTGAGGAGCAAAGCATGATGGGAGCAGCTTGTCCGTTTTGCCTTGAGGAGCCGCTCGCTGGCGGACTTGAACCGCTAGCTATTGGGTTAAGAGTCCAGCGTGTAGCACACTGTGCCAGCAGGGTTTGGAGAAACCCTGGAGACACGCTGAGCAGTCAAGTCAAGGGCAAGGGCGACTGAGTGGACAGAGACAGTGACCAGGAGCAGGGGAGGGGCTCTCTATGGGGGTGATAAAGCGCTTGACCACGGTCATAAATATCAGTATTGAGATCACATACGCTGGGAGCTGTGCTGTGTCCTTACCCTGCGTGAGTTGCCCCTCCCTCACATAAACCCGCTGTTCCCCA